CCCCGTCCCCTTAGCGGGGCGCCCTTCGGACACCCCGGGATGACTGATCCGGGAAAACCTCTTCTCGGCCCGCCAGCGATCGCTACTCTTCGGGACACAAACCAGGGCACCGCCTTAAGAGCGGGCTGGCGCTTCTTGGACCGGTTCCCCTATCCCGCACCGCCCGCGGGAAGCGGCTTCTCGGCCCGCCAGCGATCGCTACTCTTCGGGACACAAACCAGGGCACCGCCTTAAGAGCGGGCTGGCGCTTCTTGGACCGGTTCCCCTATCCCGCACCGCCCGCGGGAAGCGGATCGCCCTCACCTGGGGGGACCTCGCCCCACTTGTACGCGTCAAGAAACTGGGTGTTCCCAGCTCTCTACGCTTGTTGCTTCCTTTCCCCAGAGAATGTCGGGATTCGGGAGCTGTAGCAGCACCTGAGCCTTACGCAGTAATAAAAGGCTCAGGAGTTCTCTTTCTCTGGGGAAATCAGTCTCAGGGTTATTAGGTACTTAAAAGGACACTGCCAAGTGTTAGACACTCATTATACGAGGGAGCTTTATAGTGAAACTCCTGCCCCCGCACATCCACACACTAAAATATTACTCCCCCCCCAGTCTGTTGTTCCACTTTTAAATAATCTGTAAGTCGCTTTTGGTAGGGCTCACAAAAATGGTGCAGCGTACTCCCTCTGCTGGCTGTGCATTATCGTCTATTGAACCGACCCTGTTCCGCATTGCTTGGGGCTGCTGCTGCTGCTTTGGTACGAGGCTTGTAAGATTATATTTTTGCTTGGAAAAGTTGATGAAGGTGGGTTTCAGAGGACACACACCCGTGAAAAATATTTCCATTGACAAGAACTGAAATGTACAGATAGACAAAGTAACAAAAATGCTTTCTGAAAACTTTTAATAGCTTGATTTAAGTTTACTTAGGTTGCATTTTGATGTAAATTGACGGCTTGTATTTTAATAGTTAAAGCTTTAACTTTGTGAGTCTCAACATCTGTTGTCATTGGATAATGATTAACTCCTCTGGGCTGGTCCATCATAATTTCCGATAGCTGTGAACATTTAAAACTGAACATAAAAAATAACACTTTAAAATAAACAGTATTATCCATCAAAGTTAAAACAAAATAAATAGTGATATCTGATAAGCCTATTCATTATGTAAAAAACAAACAACCTCTGTGTTAATATCGGCTCTATTCAAAACAGGAAAGTGTCACAAATAGCCCAACAGAATAGGGCAAAACTGGGATGGAAAATTGTTTAAGTATCATGCAATAAAGGATTAGAAAGATTTTCTTTAAAAAATCCTAGAAATGCCATTAAAATACTTAAATATCAAAATTCTTGTCAGAGAAAGATGCGAACAGCTAGGTTTTGTGGCACAGCAAGCAAAAGGGTAAGGTTCTAATAAGATAATATGAGCTTTACTATTAATATGACTTCTGAATAAAATAACTTAGGTAAACTATGTACATGGATTCACTATCAATACAGAGAGAGCTCTGGTAGCGTCAGATGTCTTTTGAGTTCAGATTTTGGGGTAACTCCTGAAATAAACTATTTTAGCATCTGAAAGGGGGACTATTTTTAACAGCTGTGTTAAAAAAGAGATTATTTGTAATAACTAAATATAAAGCTGAGAATGAGAACAAAGGGAGAGAAAGATTTGAGTTAGTTTTGTTTAGTTTGCTAGTTGGCCAAAGAGAATTCTTAAGATTTAGCTAGCTGCTTATGCAATTCATGAGACTGACTTGAAAAAAAATTATTTTGCAAAGTGACTCTGTAAAGACGACATTGTGGGCTTCCATGTTTCTAATGTTGCAGTGATTCCAGATCACATTTGCTTAGTTTGAACAAAAAGGTGGTTTTAATTACTGACATCATCTCAAATTCAATATGGGAGTTGAAAATCAAGCAGGCTTCTTTCTGACTCATGCATCGTCACCAGTGATATAAAGCATTAGATTCTGAAAACCATAATCTGCTCCTGTTTTCATCTATGCAATTCAAATGTTTTCAGATTCATCTCTCTTTTACTTGTATAGAACCCATTTGTTTCCAATTGCATAGATGTGAAGGGGATCAGAATATGTCCATAAAGTTTGGAACTTTAACAATTCTTCTGGTGTTAAGGACGTGTGCACTTGAATAAGACATAGCTCACTTTCAGAACTATGTTGCTTCTGCAATGTTAACAGGAGTTTCTTTTTTATAAGTAGTGAAAATGTATTTTTGTTGCTAAAATAATTATTTGTGTCTGTAGATATGCTGCTCTGGAAAATGCTATTTTCATATAGTAGTTTTTCAGATTAGGACCACATTTTAAAGCCACTCTGATTCCTTTTGGAAAACTTTGTAATGTATCCTACGTAGAGAAAAGGCTGCCCTTATTACAGATTTGCTATATGTACTGTACCAGTAATCTTCTCCTGTTTTGTAAGTGGCATTTGTATGTAAATTGTATTTTAAGATTTCCTCTGCTCCCGTTGTTTATTCCCATTTGAAGTCTGATCCCATGTTTGTAAAACCACAACTGGCTGCTGTAAAAATGACTGATGTCACAAGATGGAAATTATGATTTCAGGTGGAGAATAAACCACAAGGACAAAGTTTTAAGAAGTAAATAACTTATTTTCATTCAGATATGGCTATAAAAAGGCTAAAACAAAAATTAAATAGAAAGGCTCTTTTCTGAATAGAATGCTCTATTAAGTTTTCCATTATCTTGTTTTTAACAAAAAATGTTAAGGGACTGACATTTACAAAAGTGAGGAAATTCAAATTTAAAGCTTCGAATCGATTGTTAAAAAAAAATCACTCTTTTCTGCCTCATTGCTCTAGTCCAGTACACATTTAAATTTAGAGACTGTTTTGTGATTCCCCATAAATATTTTTTGGCTTCCCAGGATGACTTAGGTTTGCTGTTCCTACTTATAATCTGTTAGTCTGCTTTCCTTTTTGTTTATAGGAGTCTTTCAAAATCAATAGGGGAGAGAAAACCTTTTTTAAATGTAGAAAAATACAATTTATGTAAGTTGCGGGATTTCGGGGTATGTGCAGTATGTTAAATGATACACAATATATACATTACATTCATTTTCTAGAAGTTGTCTAGACTGCAAACTGATGGTGCTCCTTTATCTTCTTTGGCACTGCAATTTTTGGTACATCCATGAGCTGCCTTGTACTACATAACAAAATTAGAGAGAATGGAGGAGAAGGAAAAATGAAAAAGGAGAGAAAAGAAATAGTAATAAACTCAATTCTTAAAGTTTAATATGGAGTAGTGCAAGCTTGAAAAAGGATTTTAAAATCTGCTCCCTGACAGTGGTTCCTCT